AACCTTAACTCAATTAATTGGTCTTTCGCTCAAATCGGCAGTGTCACGTGGACACGTGTATTGTAGCCACAGGCGCGTGCATCTACCAACTCTTAGACTCTTACTATGCTGGCATATTCTTTTTGAAGCCATCCGATAACGAGCTCCGGTGAAAACACTCGTCGATGTGCGCTTACGTTCCCCGTCTCCACCTTGGTGAACCAACAAGGGTGGCCTGGTTTCAGCCACTGGTCGGAGTTAGCCAAGATTCGTGTCAGAAAACAAGGACACTGGTAATCGTGTCCAAGCTTTCGAACTCAGAAAATATACATAGGTCTTGTCACTAGCGCTATATGTGGGTGCCAGGTGGTCTGTCATATATTATTTCAAACTAACGGAATGACTGACGAGCACTGGCATAGTACAGGTTTCCCTATCGTTTTGGAATCTAAGATGGGACCGTTGAGCAGACTTAATTGTAGCAGGTCGTCTCGTAATGTGCAACCTGGTGATGCCTCAGAGAGTCAATAGCAAAGCTATTCTCCTGAAATACCGTGACTAGTCGGCAGAATCATGCTTTTACCCCGATGCCCCCTCCCCGCCCTGGCCCTGGAGTTCTCGAAAGCAGATGGAATCCGCGTCACTTGTCTCTCTCAAGCTACTCCCAGACGTTCTCCTCTGCTCATCTATACTGAGTCATCGATCCTTACAATGAATATACGGTATACCATGGACGCTGCCTCATTATAATCACTGTCTTCCATCGTTGCCTTGCGCTTAGTGTACAGGAGGTCCTCTGAAGGGATGAGATGTTGTCATGAAGTGAATGTACTCAGTGTTGCCCATTCTCTCCCACCCACTGACAATTCGAGCGGACGGTAGAGTCGGGGCGTGTGTAGAACAACAATTAGAATTCGTCAATGATGGTTTTTATCCAGAAGCGAAGATACTACGAGGCGATGTTGGCGGGAATGTTGGAATGTCACACCAAAGCACTAGGAAAACCTGTATCTGATAACAAATAACTCGTGACGCTGGCAGTGAGATGAACAAATGATCTGATATGGGCAGAGATGACGCGAAATATCGGGGCAGAACTTGGCGGCTGCTTGACAGTCCTTGCAGCTCGATCAACCCCTGCGGGACAGTGGGTCATGATCAATTTGAGGGGTTCGTCGCCAACTTAAACGTCCGCGCAGACGGCCAATCGAGTGTCTCAAACAAACGCATCGCCTATTCAGAATAAAAGAAGTGTGCGTCTCCGTTGCGGTAGGTCGTCTTGGGAAGGCTTGACAATAGATGTACTCAGACCGGAAAATCTGACATCACCGGCAGGCTACATATACTAAGGATGCTGGTAGAGCTATTGCCAACTGATGTGAATCAACAATTATTTTGATTAACGTAAAAGTCTCGCCGCATAGTAATCCTACGACCAGAGCATTTGTGACAAGCTGATATACAGATGACAAATATATCGCAGGGCTAGTCACACAGATACCAGAGCAGCGTTCAACGTTGCAACTTCCATTCACTGCGCTGAATACGCTGACACGTTTAGCCAGTACCTACATGCCTTTAGCTCAGCACCTTGGCTCATTACGGATATGGGACTCACGCGCAACGCTCCAGCAAGGCACTGTCAGTCTTCAAAGTGTGAACGTAGGGTGCTCCTGCGAATGTCTCGTTGAACTTCATCTCCGTCAAATCATATTGCCAAGATGCCCAGGAAGGTGTGATATCCCCTGGGGTGTATCTGTCGTCAGGAGTCTCGAACATGACCATAGCCATGAATGAATTCGAGAAAGCAGTGATGAACTGCGAATTGTTGTATGGAGGACCACCCCTGAAACAGTATACAATCAAAGTAGAGGTTGACCCATTGCTTCAACTTACCCATATGAGGTGAAATAGTATGCAACATCATATCCATGCAGGCCAGGCGAGATTGCAAACTCGCCCTGCTTGTATTCAGTATACATAGATTACAAGTTGCCTCGAACTCACTTTCCAAGCTCGTTCTCCAAATGCTAAGAGGAGATAATAAGTGGGGCAAACGAATATTGCTAAAACGACCCATAAATCAGGGACATTGATCATCACTTCAAAAATACACATACATTCACCCATCACAAGATTTGCCTGGTTAACGTTACTTCCGTAGTTCTGGTACATCGTCACCGCTCCAGCAACTTGAGCAGGACCGAAATTCGGGAAAAGCGCCTTGACATAATCTGCAACATCCAATGTCATCGATTGGTCGACGAAATTGTTCCCCTCATGCGAATTGGTCATAGAAAGGAGGTTGTTCTAAGGGAGAAAGGGTCTCAGTTTGTTTGTGAGATAGATGCATTCATGGATCGTACGCCATTCAAACGACCTTTACTTATCGTCACGGTAGGCCTCTCCAAGATGAAAGTGCCATCCACAACAGGGACGAATACGTACGAGCCAAAGAACCCGTTGGCGTTGATGTTATAGTTCAAGGTCTCCAACGTATTGACGTCTGCAGCGCGTAAACAAGAGAGGGTATCTGAACTTGAGGTACAGCTGCAAGTTGAGGAATTAGATATGGAATGGCGGTTCTTTAAAGAATTTACTTTGTTCCATTGACGACCTCACTATACAACATCTGATAGTAGTATTCAGGATTCTGCGGATATCGCCCTCATGAACAAGAATCACCTCCGGAATCCGGTCATTATAGTTGTATTGGGACGGCAAGAACGTAGAACTCGTCATGGCATTTTTGAAGAGGGGAGGCTGCGTGTTTCCTCCATGAGCAACGATATGTTGTAGCACTGAACCGGCACCTGAAACAAAGTAATGAACGATAATGACGAAGAGTACCTAGCGCAGCTCACCAGCGGACTCTCCCCAAATTGTGACCTTCGTGGGGTCGCCACCGAAGCTGCTTATCTATCCGGGCGAGCTTCCTATCAGCTGGGGTACACCACGCAAGTAAAGAGTTCTGCTCACGTAGGCCTGCACCCACTGTAACGCATAATTCTGGTCGACTTAGAATATTAAGTTCAGCTGAATCTCAATGACTGCCAGACCATGATGATCGCGTACGTAGTCCAGCATTGAGTGCGCCCCCTTCCTTGACCGCTTCGCCAGAAAGAAAACCTAATCGGCAATGTATACACCTTAGTACGCATCTCAAAGTGAGAGGAACAACGAAAACATACCGAATACACCGAGGCGGTACTGAATTAAGACACTGATGACACCGTGATTCGAGTCCACAATTAGATCTGCGCCGTTGAAGTCGCTTGCAGCTCCTTCGATATACCCCCCGCCGTGAATGAAAACAACAACTGGGAGCCCTCCTCCCGGAGTGGCCACCACTTCACTTCCAGGAGTGTATACACTACCGCCGCGTAAGCACTGATTGCAAATGTCAACATCATCATTCCATGACAGGGCTTACTTCAAGAATAAACAGTCTTCAGATTGACTGATAGCCCTTTTCCTCATAGAGGTGCTTTCAAACGGGTTTGTCGAAGAGGTGCCTCCGGGTGCTTGATTGCATTCGTCTGGTTGCGTGGTAGCTTGTTGGACCCCAGAGACGGCTGACGGAGGCTGCGGAGCTGCCCATCTCAAGTCGCCTATGCGCTTGGTGCGTGAGCTGAGATTGTGTGCAACAAACAGAACTAGACGCACCAACTGGAGGAGCTGCGTAGCGTATTCCAAGGAAGCTGGTGATATTTGTCGTCGTGTCAACTGATCCCTGGTACTGGGCATAACCCAAGTTGATGATGGGTGCAGATACGGTAGCTGCCGGAGAAGATGATAACGCTCCTAGCGCAAGCAAAACCTGCGACACGACCAATAGATTAGCTTTAGTGGACAGTTTCAATCCTACAGATCGCGCTGTGATAATCATCCTTGACAAGGGTGATGAAGATGGCGCAACCTGACAGACATTATAAACCTCAATTAAATTGCGAGTGGATCCGAGATCATGCCGAGCGAAACATCGGTACTATGAGTAAAAATAGGATGCTGCGATCTGTTCACTCACCTGTAAGTGCTTTGCAATTGGGGATATTCATCATTTCCTGTGATGATAAATTCGTTTAATTTTAAAAATACGTTCAAAGTCGGGCTCGCAGTGCACACGCATGTACTTACATCATGATCACATGATTGAAGAACTTCAAGCTCCATCACCGGCACCATCAAAGCGATCTGTCCCACAGTACATACCTAGATACGTAACGCATTCCCCTGCAGACAGGTTGAATTCCCTGTAGATATATTGTTGCAGGCATCATCACTTTAGTCAATCACGGAGTGTCGGGAGTGGCTGTGTTCAACGTGGTCAATCCTGAGTGGGTTCACTCCTGCCCTGATATTTAACTTACAGCTGGCCCTCCTGTCTCTGCTTCCCATGACCACTTCTTCCAAACCGGCAGGAGAAAATTGGCATCTGTCTAACCTTCTTGCATATGACACACTCCCAAATCACCACGACTGTCACTGTGACTTGATTTTATCTCATGCGAAGGTCACTGCTGATACTAGAACAGATTTCTGTGACCGCAGTATGACGACTCGCAGATATGCCCTTGTCGGAGTAGCATGCTCAACTATCTTCAGCTGCTCATGCATCGTTGCAGGCATTGTCACTTTAGCCAATCACGGAGTCTTGGGAGTAGCCGTGGTCAACGTGGTCAATCCTGAGAAGTGGGCTCAGTTGCCCCTGCAGGGGGAGATATTGGTCATGACACCTTACTTAATCATCACATTATGCACTGAGTCCGACATCAGCTTCATACACAGCATCTCATTGCGCTCTGCGCTAGCCTCATAGTCTCGGTTTTGGTTCAACACCAATCTACGCCTTCTGACTGCAGCGAGTGGATGGTATAACCCTGACGGCGTTCTGCTTAATAGTGTCTCGGCTGTCCTCATTATATCCTACAGCTCGGCCCCACTCGTCGTACCTCTTGACTGCCAAATAATGCTACAAACATTTGGGGAGGGTATTGCCATCGCAGGGTTACCTTCTTGTGTCTGACCTAGACATGGATGGAGGTCTGCGCTACTGGAAGGAAAGGACTTAGAACGGTGATAAACTCGGTGAAGACGATTTTCACTCATCCGATTTGTCTCGTACTTTTCGTCGCGAAGCCTTTCCTGTGTGAGTCATTCCTGTCTAGTATTTTTTATCAGTGTTGTTGAACGCCATCCTCGACGATCACAGACTGGATGTTTGGGCTTTCATTCACCACATTTGGCTACGCCTATGACAGGACATCAAACGTGTCATCAGTATTCATGTTCACTGCCCAGGTTCGCACTTATTGCCTATATAAAGCTGCTACAACATCTTCACACCCTCGTGCAGATCTGGAACTTATGCATAGCGCTGTTTATATTTGCTTGTTTCTTCACCTTCGTCGCACTGTGCCGACTGCACGGTTCCCAGTCGGCTGCATACAGCCACGTCTGGACGCTCACCAACCTCATGGACGAGTGGTTGTCTGTGATGTGGTGGGGACATAAGGAGGACGGAATCCCTCACTGTCATGCTGGTAGGGTACTTATATACTCACGATGCTACTGCTTTGACTCTTTTACAAAGGGATGAGCGATCGCCTGCCCCCAGATGTGAAGATGGACTGCGTTTATGCTGGTTCCGGTGTCGAGTCTCTGGCACCCTCTCGTGAGAGGTACTTGATTTGCTTTTAAAAAGGCATACTTTTCTAATTTCTCATTTGTAAACAGAGGAGCTGCGTCAGTCAGGCTGGCGATGCATTGACAGTCCACACAATCAACCCACGCGGTAGAACGAGACGTGCGAATTTTGTGCCGTCTACCGTACAATAGGTAGTTCGGGATCATTCATACCAGGCACAATTTCTAGCGGATAAATTCAAGTCGGCCTTTAATCAAGCAATTGTCGAATCATTGTAATTTTAGTAGAGGACAAGTTGTTTAGGTGACTTGCAAAGTCATACTTGAGACTGTTCCAAACCCCCGGCAGATTGGCTCAAGCCGACTGATACGAAACCAAAAACCCGCTCCCCCAACTGGCGAAAGATGTATCGAGTCTGCCCGAGCCCTTAGTAGTATCTAGCCCGCCATTCCAGATTCTCAAGTGCTGAGATTACTAAGCGCATCACGCGCGCAAAATAATCGGAAACACTTACCATAGTGGTTCCATAATATCATATCATATCCTAAACTGCGCCCCAGAATTGTACGTTTGTTACTGCCTAGCCATTTCCCCTTTTATGACATTCACTCATGGATGATTCTTCGGAAGTTCATCTCATCTTGGGAAGCATCAGGGTGACCGAAGTGGTTACCACAACAGAATCGAAATCTGTTTCTCTTGGACTGTGTAGGTTCGAAACCTGCCAAAGACAAGGTTTTTGTCTATTGTATAACACCTTGATATTCACTCATGGATGTATTATTCGGAGCCTCATCTTAACTCATCTTTTTTTTTTTTTGAATCAATTTTATTGTCCTTTGGGGTCGAAGACCCTATGTAGGACATAGCCCTGTTCGTGGGGGGCTTGCTCCCGCTTGATCTATCGTAGGTATATGTATGTTCTGACGTGGTATCAATGGTAAACAAGTACTTCCGCCAGCATGATGTCGGGCGAAGGCCGACGCTGAGTTCATACAAAGGGAGTGAAGTGGTATGAGAAGCGAGTTAATAGGGCCCCTCCTTTCCTACGTTGGTGTCTCAACCGGCGAGACGTCTTCCCTTTAGTCTCAGAGTTGATTAAGGTTATAATAGTGTTGAGTTTGAATTAATTGAGGTTGTTTCTGTAGGGTAGTGAATTGAGTGTGGTTCTTTAGCTGTCCGAGATCTCACCGAATGTTGTTTTAAATCTTCCTGTTTTGTTTATGTAGCGCATGAGAGGTTGAGTGGCTTTCTCGGACGTTAGGATGAAGGAGATGGATGTTGCTTGACGGCGGACTGAGTTTGCAAATTGGTGGCGTTCCCGTGCATATTGTGGACAGTTGAAGAGGTAATGATGAATCGTTTCGTCTGTGTCGGGGCATATGGGACAATGTGGCGTTGCACTTTTTCCAATTCAATGAAGGTGATGGTTGAGGGGTAGGTGACGAGTACGGAGTTGAGTGTATATGCTGGTTTGGCGTTTCGGGAGGGTGGCAACGAGCTTGATGAACTTGTTTGATGGCATGGATGGGTCTATGGTCTTGGCTCTTGCGTAGCGGGTTGATTTTTGCCAGTGCCTGGTCCATCTCTTGTTGAGTGAATCATCATGCCATTGCTTCAGGGCCGATATACTATCTGGGAGCGGGTTGTCTTTCAAGTATGTTGGGAGTTGTTCTGGTGCGCTGCTCTGTTCTGGACCTTCTGCTGCTTCCTTTGCTGCTTCGTCAGCCAATTCATTGCCAAATACTCCTGCATGTCCTGGGATCCATCTCATCATTAGGTCGAAGTTGCGTCCTCTGTCTCTTCTGCGTTTGGCTAGGTATCGTGTCATGCTGCAAAGTTTTTCTACTAAGTAACTGCCTGGTTTCGTTCTGTGGCTCTCACCAGATTGGATTGCAGCTTGATTGTCGACTAGGATGGATGCTGGGTAGGTGACATTTGATTCTGTAGCTAGGAGTTTGACCGCTGTAGAGACTCGATCCTGGGTAGCCTCACAATGGCACATATTGCAACATAGGTCGAGTCTACAGTATCATGCATGTAACACGACACTTGTGCGATAAACGCGACGTTCACGCGACGCGCGCGACTTAGGCGACACTTCCGCGACATAGGCGACACTTGCGCGACTTGCGCGCGCTTTAGGCGAATTTTCCCGCGCCTAAGCGCTATAGGGCGCCTGACTTCCCACTGTGTTTTCCCATGTCCAACCAAGTTCCCAGGTATGCATTTCTCCATTTATCATTTATTTCAACATCGTACCATGTTTATTTTCACTTGGTACACATTTTTCATTACACATTTTTTACTTAACACAACACACATTACCACGGACCACCATCATCATAGACAGTCACCATCTCCGAGTTTTTATTATGTTTTGAATAAATCATCGCAAGCCCTAGTAGCAGTTAGCTCTAGTGGCCATATCCGCATCAGTTGTCTTATCAGCATCTCAGTACATGTCTTAACATCTCACTATCGCTCGCATACCACTTTCACCCAGTTCCGCTTTTCGACGCGCGACTTTCCTGCGCTTCGCGCGCCTATAGCGCCTTTGTTCCCGCGCTTTCGCCTTATCACGCGCTTTGCGCATTCCCCCTAGAGTTGACCAGTGGATATTTGCTTTCTCCGCTTCCCCTAAGGGATGAACATATCGCACTCATATTTTCCTCCCTTCAACAATTATATCAGCTGCACCCTCAGCTGAGTTGAAGATCCTTCACCGCAAGCATTATACCAATGACTTCTGCTTCATAGACCGTGTGCGATTTGTCAGGGCTGAGATGGTATTTGAGTATACGGGGTTCCTTGCCTTCACATATGAGTACTGCTGCTGCTCCTATTCCACCGTTGTGCCCTGACCCGTCTGCATAGATCTGGATGACGTCTTTCAGGTTCTTTTGTTCTTCGATCGCTAGTTTCTTCTTGGGGGCGATGTGGGTTTTGTGGGCGTTGGGTATTGTTGCATTTGATCTGCGAATTGGGTCCAGGGTTTCTACTTTTGCTGGGAAGATCTTGAATGAGGCGAGGAGGTTGTGTAGGGATGAACGGTGGCGCTTGACGTTGTAGTGCTTGGTGATATGCTTCAGGTGTTTGTGGAGGGGGTGGCGAGAGGGGAGAGTAGCAAGGCGGAGTGCTGCTCGGTGACATGTTCATTGAAGGAGTAGATGTGTTGGGAGAAGGTTAGCATGGGCATTAAGGGTGTCAGTGGCGGTTGATCTCATGGCTCCTGCGATACTCAGTGTTGCGATTCTTTGTATTTTGGCTAATTTTTCAGCTACTCCTTTGGATCCTCGCTGCTCTCTGTTGGTTCCTTCGCTGTATATGGGTCTGAACCAGACATCTGCTCCGTACATGAATTTCAGGATGGTGACCGTGACATATAGTTGATGCATTAGTTTTGCTGATACTCCGTTGGATGGTCTTGATAGGCGGCGTAATTGAAGTACATATTCTGTTCCTTTGGCAATGGCGTGTGCTACATGAAATTTCCAAGTTATTTCCTGATCAATGAGTAGGCCGAGAAAACGATGGTGCTCAGTGGGGTTGATGGTGGCGTTCTGGATAATAATTGGGGGGCGTGTTCTGGTCTTGCTGCGCGTAAAATCGATTAGGGCGAATTTGTTGACTTTGAATTTGGAATTGTGATCTTGCGACCATTGGAGTGCGCCTTTGGGTCTTTCCATCATGTCCTTGAGGGTTTTGTGCGTGTTGTTGAAAGTTGGTCCGATGGCGATATATGCGGTGTCGTCCATGAATGCTCAGGCGAGTTCTCCATTCTGCGGGTCAGCTACGTCTATCAGATCGGCATTATAGATTAAGTAAGCTATCATGGAGAGGGGGTCTCCTTGACCTATACCGTTCTGAACATCTATCCAGTCTGATGTGGTGTTGTTGAATCTTAGCTGTGTGCGACGTCCAGTGAGCATCCATTCTGTAAAGTCCACGATCTCCGGGGGTAGTTTACGCTTACGCATATTATGAGCTAGGCGGTTGGTGACAGCGTTAGGGAACACTCCTTCGATGTCCAGGAATAGGATAGATGCTACTTTACCACCGCAGCACGCGTTCTTAACTGTTGTTTCTAGGAGGTGGAGGGAGTCGGTAGTGGTTCGTCCAGGACGTCCTCAAAAGTGCGTGTTTGGGAGGAGATTGTGACTTTCTATAATATAGGTTACCTGTTCCGCGACTATTGTGGTGAGCAGCTTGCATGTTGTGTTGATGAGCGCTATTGGTCGGTAAGCTTTGGGGATAGAATAGTCAGCCTTTCCTGGTTTGCGTAGGACTACCATTGTGAATTCCCTCCATGGGTCGTAGTACATTTGAGTGTGAATACAGCATTAAACAGGTGAAGGAGATAGGCCGTAATGATTGAGGAGGTGCACTTGAAAACGATGTTGCAGATACCATCGGGTCCTGGTGCCTTATGGGGACTTGTGTTGTTTATCGCTCGTTCGATTTGCTCTTTGGTGATTGGCATAAAGGGCGTGACTGGGTCTGGGTATATGTAGTCTTCCGGGACTGTGTTCGAGGTGGGAGGTGGCAGGAAGAAGGAGTCAGTGAGAGCCTTGCTTTTGTCGGCGTTGGTGATGGCTTCTGTTGGTAGACCATTAGAATTCTTAGTTTTGAGGGCGGGTACACTTGTTCTGCCGCCATCTCCTGCTGGTGAGGAGATGTATTTGTTTGCGGTGTAGATGCTTTGCTGGTCCAATTCCTCTAGGAAGTCAATCCAATGTTCTTGCTTGGTTTTTCGGATGGTCTCGGTAACCTTGTTGCGGAATTTGCGGTGCTCCCCGTGTACTGGATGGTCTGGTAGTCCTCTCATCTTGTAAGATAATCCACTTAGCTTGTTTTTCTCCTTCATCATCTTCATCAGGTCTTTTGTCCACCATCTTTTCGCATGCGGGCTGGGGTTCGTCATTGGTACTTTTTCTTTTATGGTGCGTTTGATGGCGTTGCTGAGGTTGGAGGCAGCCGTTTGGAATTGCTGCTCGGAGGTGATGGGTTTGGGTGCAGGTATCTCATTGAGGTGTCGGGCGAGACATCCACTGAATTCTTCCCAGTCGGCTTCGCGGTAGTTGTACATGGTCGTGTTTGAGGTCCTTTGTATGTCAAGGTCTAGGGTGGCAGAGTATAGGTATGTGGTCAGTACATGGAGGGCGTCATCTGGGTGCCATGTTGCAAAGGGTAAATGAGTCTAGGGTGTGAGCTGTGCAGAAAACATTATCAGGTCTTGTCCAGTTACCACTACTGGTAGATTGAAGTGTTGGTGTGTCCCGGGGCAAGGCCATTCTCATATCATGGTCAGCGAGTAGCTCGATTATGCGTTGTGCCGCTTCTTGTGCTTCCGGAGGGTTGCATAGGTGAGCGCTGCAGGCTTCTTCCCAGAGATGATGGTGGGCATTGAAGTTGCCCATGAGGATGATATGATCGTTTGGGGTGGGGTGGACGGTGTGTATTTCGTTTTCAAGGTAGGGTCGCTAGTAGTGGTAGAACTTTGCCTTTCTTGCTATCGTTGTAGATGTTGAATATAGTGATCTTGCCGAATGTTCCATTGAGTTGGGTGACTACTATGTCAGCTGAGGGAAAGGGTAATTGGCGCCAGTTGTTTGTGTTGAGTCGTTTGTGGATAAGGGTGATTGCTCGTGATCGACTTTTATGGGTGTATTTGTGCGTTGGGTAGACAATGTTCCAATCGGGGGTGGCTCTCGTGTTACCTAGGGGGTCTATATGGGGTTCCTGTATACTTACAATATTGTATTCTTTCGCTGTGAAGGAGCCGCTTAGTATACAGTGTTGCACAGTAGATGACTTATTGAGGTTTTCCTGCCATATTCATAGACAGACGGTTTCGTTGTTTGTTGTACTATTCATAGAAGTAGTTGGGGTTGGATGCGGCTGGCGTTTGGGATCTGGAGCATGCTTGGGATTGAGGGTAGGGGTCAGGTGAGTAGCACTGTGTGCTTGGTGGTGGGTGGTTCGAGTATCTTGATTGCGGTGGAATGTAGCAGCCTCACACGGGTCTTGGTCCTCTTGCTTGGGTCATTTCCCTTAGATCTAGGTATCTGTCGAGGGTGTCTTGGGTTCGGCGAGGTGGTTCTTGCTGTTGTTGAGGTTCTTGCGGTGGTCTTACGTAGGGTTTGGGCCTGGGTGGTGCTTGGACCAGTGTCCAGCTTTCGTCTGTCGGGAAGTAGGGTAGGGTGTTGTCCTGGTTCCTGGTATCGAGGTCCATGCAGTGCCGATTGAATTCTGGGCAGTTTCTACTCCAGCTGGGATGGTCGTTTGAGTTACATGAGATGCAGTGGGAGGGGTCTTTATTGCTACAGTCCGATGTTCTATGTTCTTTGGCGCTGTTGGTGCATGTGTCCCGGTTAGCGAGGCAGTCTTAGGGATTGGCACGGGTAAACCCGTGGGTGTCCAGAGCCCTACCCGCACCCGTACCTGCCATATACCTGTACCCGTGTACCCAAGGGTACCAACGGGTACGGGTCTTCGAACGGGTATCGACGGGTTGCGCGGGTATGGCAGTAAACCCGCGGGTATAAATTCAAACTATACTAGAAAACATTTAGTAACTACAGATTAATAATAATACCTAAATCTGAGCCTTCGTCGTTGCCTCAGTGGTGAAAGCGGGTGGAGAGTCGAGTCGCGAGTGACAACGGCCGATCTGTGTGACTGACCAGGCGCAAAGCCAGCGCTTCCATATGAAGTGCAATAGCCTCATCTAAGTCTTCATCGTTGCCTCGGTGGCGAAAGCGGGTGGAGAGTTGAGTCGTAAGGTTAGTCAATGACATGGACCAATGTGTGTGACTGACTGGGAGCAAAGCTAACACTTCCTAGTGAAGTGCGATAGCCTCATCCAAGTCTTCGTCGTTGCCTCGATGGTGAAAGCAGGTGGAGAGTTGAGTGGCGAAAGCGGGTGGAGAGTTGTAAACATCTGTACCGGGCTTCTTCTGCTTCTACATGGACTCTTGTGGTTGCTTCTCGATTGTTCACAGGAGGGTTATCGAGGAGGGAGCTGAGGTCTCTGAATTTCTTCATCAGGGCCGCTGCGTGATCGCCACGTGTCTGGAGGCTGTCAAGAGGCGTACGGAGTCGTGTCATCTGGGTCCAGATGATAGTCCTGCCTTGTTCTAACAACTCAACAGCACGACACACGTCACCACTACGAAGAGCACACGATGCAGCATCCATGGCAAGCGTTCTTGGGAAGTCCTTCATGATATTGTGACGAGACAATACTGAAGCTGTCGTGGACATGTAAGCGTCCAGAAGTTGCATGGAAGTTGCATAAGCCTCCAGCTCGGTGGCATGTGAATGTTGACTAGCATATTGAACCCAGCATAGACTTGCTCACAGGCGAGATAGCGAGCCTCCGGAGACAACATTTGCTGTTGCTTTAAGATGATGCATTGCAGAATTCAGACTGTTAGTATCTTCGCCCGCTCCGGTACCGTCAAGCCCCGAATGATGGAATGATAGATAGACCTTAGCTAGCGAGTTGTGGACTACTAATTGACGAGGATCATGTTGCGTCAACAGAGTCAATGCACAGCTTATGTTCTCTCGTGACTCGTCAAGGTCTTCTCTATTGCCTCGGTGCTGAAAGTGGGAGGAGAGTTGATTCCCAAGGTCATTTAATGATGAGGACCAATCTGTGTGACCAACTGGGTGCACAGCCAGTGCTTCCCTCTGAAGTGCGATGGCCTGATACAAGTCTTCGTCATTGCCTCGGTGCGAGAAGCAGAAGGAGAGTTGACCGGCAAGGTTATTTAATGACATGGACCGATCTGGGTGACCAACCGGGCGCAAAGCCAGTGCTTCCCTGTGAAGTGCGATAGCCTGATCCAGGTCTTCGTCGTTGCCTTGTTGCGAGAAGTGGGAGGATGAAGACAGGTGTTATGTCGAAGAAGATGGAGGAGAATAGCAGGGTGTGAGCATTGGCGGTATCACAAGATGGACAATTGATAGTAGTAGTCTAGACTCATGTAAGTAGTTAATGCGCACCTTATCGCTTCTTGGACCTGAACCAAGTGGCACCCCGACTAGGACCCCGAAAAATCCTCGTCAACCAAAGCGTCCAACGACGCACCCAACGCCTAACGGCGTTACTCCGCCTCAGCGGAACCACCTAAACTAACCCATTTTACCCTTTAGAAACGCTCGACGCGCTACTAGGTCAACATGCCCCCAGGAAAGACCACCCCTGGAACAGGACCACCCAAGCCCAACTCACCCACTCAAACGACGGCTCCCAATACCTGTAAAACCACCCGTTCTCAGACCACGGTAGAGGAAATTATGGCAACCAGTAGCTCGGTAATGGATACTGAAAGTGCGGAAGCGTACCTGGCGTCCAAACTTCTTTGTCAAGTCGGTCAACCATTCACGCTCACTCATCTCTCCACCATTCTATTTCACATCACACAAATGTCTACTGTCACTCCAGTACCGGTTAACGCGGCAATTCGCGCAGTAGCATTCCTTCTGAAAAAGCAGGTGGTATGTGAGATAGCAGAAGCAGCAGCAAAGGAACTGGCACTCACCTTATCTGGCACCTTAACTGAATCACTATCTGCTCGGTTGGTTAAGAAAACGGAGGATACCTTGACCATCACCCTCGACAAGGCTGAGCGACTTCATCGGTTAGCCAGAGATGAGCGAACCGAACAAGAAGGAGGTGTCTCGGTAGCTTCCGAACGCCTAGAAGAGACCGCGGATGCCCTATACGCCACAGTAACAGACTGTCAGAACACCATCAAACTACTTGCCCCCTCGCTGGATGCCACCCAAGACCGCATCAACCATCTATCCCTCCAATTGACCTCCACCCCCTCCCCCTCACCCCCCACGACCCAGCCCACCTACAGCTCTGTAGCAGCTGCCCACCTCCCCCCCAAGGTGGACCAGGCCGTTGGCCGAGCGGCTGTTAGGGCGCGCGAGATTCTATTGGACCCCAACCCAGGTTCTAGCCTATTCCCACCTGGGACTGCAAACAGGGAAATAGTGTCTCACCTCAAGGAGGCAATCAATAATATAAGGGACAACAGCACCCCACCAGGCAGCGTTAGAGCTATAACCACGCTCCGTAATGGAGGAATAGTAGTAGAACTGGAATCTGAGGAACTGGCATCGTGGCTCCGAAGCCCCATGGGACGCACATCACTAGAAAGTCGATTTGAATCAACAGTATCGTTTCGCTCCCGAACATTTGCATTAGTCCTAGAGTACTTACCGATCCATTTACAGATTGAAAACGACGACTTTCTCCACCGTGTCGAAGAGGAAAACCAACTCCCGGCGGATACACTGACATCCATTCGCTGGATCAAACCCTTGAACCGCAGATCCAACCAGCAGCGCAAGGCCTTCGCTCTCCTACAAGTATCTGATGCACCCACGGCCAACAACATTTTGCGAGATGGACTATGTATCGACAACGAGAGAATCTCTATCCGGAAGAACAAGAAGGAACCTATCCGCTGTGCAAAGTGTCAACGCTACGGCCACATTGCCCGCAGCTGTACTGATGAGCATGATACTTGTGGAACCTGTGGGGAACACCATCGCTCCACCCAATGCAATGCTTACCGCACCACTCGGTGCGTTAACTGTCGCAGCAACAACCACACAAGTTGGAGCAGGAAATGCCCGGAATTTCTTCGAAGATGCAACCTTCTAGACGAAAAATTCCCAGAGAACAAAATGCCCTATTTCCCCACTGAAGTAGCTTGGACACATGCCATCATCCCTCCAAGACCTCCCAGACTGCCCTCCCACTTCCTCTCCCCGCCGATTCCACAAGACCTTCTTCCACAGACGAACAACACCCTCCGTCAAACCACACTCGCACTCCAACGTCTCCCCATTCTCCCATCCCCGTCGCCCCAGCCCAACTCTCCCAGTCAACCCTCCACTGCCGCTGAGATCCTCAAAGACATATACCCCCCACTAGACCCCGACCCCGAACTCACCTCACCACCCAACACTCCACGCTCCTCTCAATCCTCCCAACCCTCTGACAGTTCACCCTCTTCACCCCCCACTCATGTCTAATCACAACCCTACCACCAACGTCCGACTCAAGATCTGGCAACAAAATCTCAACACCTCTCTGATCGCTCAATCATCCCTGCTCAACAACCCCGTCATCGCGGATTGGGACATACTAATCATCCAGGAACCCTATATTAACTTTCTACGTAATTCCCAGCGCCAACCACCACTGGCACGTCCTGTACCCATCGCAGCATTATACCCACCCCCAGCAGCGGTCGCGGGCCCTCATCTTGATCAGCACTAGACTCGACACTAATTCGTGGAAACAGCTCACCTTCCCCTCATCGGATGTCATCGCCATTCAACTTTCTGGTCCCTATGGACGGTGTACAATATTTAATATTTATAATGACTGCACTCATAACAACACGCTAACCACCTTCGACACTTATCTAGAAAGCAACATCGCTTCCCTCAAAACATCCGATAACGACCACATGCTTTGGTTGGGAGATTTTAACCGACATCATCCCTTATGGGAGGACATCTGCAACTGTCATCTGTTCAACTACACGGCCGCCAACCCCCTCATCGACCTCATTGCTGACCATGGAATGATCCAGCTCCTACCGCAAAACACCCCAACTCTCCAATCCATCAGCACCGGTAACTGGACACGCCCGGACAACGTGTTTGGCACAGAACACCTCCTCGACGCGGTAGTATGCTGTGAAACCGCTCCGGAACTCCGAGGGCCAAAGACTGACCATCTTCCTATATTGCTGACCCTGGAACTCGAGACCCCCAGCACAGACACAGAACCTTGTCGTAACTGGCGCGGGGTCGATTGGGACGCCTTCAAAAAGCATCTCGGAGAAAACCTCACCACCAGACCCGCCCAACCCCTTGTGTCAGATGAGGAATTTCAGGAGGCCGCCCGGCACCTTACCCTTTCGATCACCGCCACCATGGACTCCTGTGTGCCCTACTCGAAACCATGTCCACATTCCAAGCGATGGTGGACGAAACGCCTATCCATCCTTAGATCATGGGTCAAGAAGTTAAGTAAACTGGCATACCAGATGAGAGGTCTCCCCCAACACTCTAGCCACGACGACCTCAAAGCGGCCAAAGACCAATACGCGAACGAGATCATGGCTACGAAGAAGCAGCACTGGTTAGAATGGCTGGAAGATATTGAAGGTAATGATCTGTGGACCGCTAATACAGTGGCTCAAAAAACCGTCCGTATGTTTTGGCATTTTTCACTATCTATAATATTGTGTGAGAACAAACAAATGCCTCAAAAACATGCTTATACCACATTGTAGTATGGCTTCAGGGCTTTCATGTGAGCCCTACACCGTGGGAATCGGTGGAGATATGGTGGAGATACAAGGCTCACCAAAACGGTGACTCATGCGGACAGTTTTTTGACTCAAGTATTTTACAGTAATAACCAGGTATTCTAGTATTTTGTATGACCTCCCTTGGCTTTAATTACTGCCTCTATCCTTCTAGGCATACTCTCAATTAATTTCTGGCAATCCTCAGCTGTGATCTTCCCCCATTCCACTGCTACTCTCTCCCAAAGCTCCCATACTCCTTTAGGGGGGTTTTCATAGGCTTGAAGCTTTTTCTTGAGTGTTCCCCAGAGATGTTCAATGACATTGACATCAGGAGACTGTGCTGGCCAGTCAAGAACATTGATGTTATGTTCTTCAAACCATTCCCTAGCTCTTCTGGATGTGTGCTTGGGATCATTATCCTGTTGGAAAATGATATCTTCTTCATCAATCCCTGATTCTGCCAAGCTAGGCAGCAAGTGGTCATTTAAAATGTCCACATACTGCTCAGCATTCATCTTCCCCTCAACCTCAGCAAGCATTCCCACACCATTCCATCCCATACAGCCCCATACCATTAAAGAACCTCCTCCAAACTTGACAGTCCCATTAACCTCTCTGTCTGTTAGGCCATCTCCCTTCTTTTTCCATACATACACCTTCCCATCTGACCCAATCCTATTGATTTTGGTCTCATCTGACCATATAACATGCTTCCAGTCCTCTACAGTCCAGTGTTGATGAGCTAAGGCAAAGGCTAGTCTTCTCTGCCTATGTTTGATGGAGAGAAGAGGCTTTTTCTTCTTTGTTACTGCCTTGAGATGAGCTGCCTTGAGAACATTCCTCACAGTTTGTGAAGAGACAGGGGTAGTGATGGTGGAATTGATATAATGGGTGGCTTGGACAGCATTATCAGCCTTTCCTGTAGTGATATGTTGGATAATAGCCCTTTTGTCAGTAGAGGTAAGCTTGGATGGACGTCCTCCACAAGAGTTTTCCTTGTCTGGGTGGCTTTCTTTGATGAACTTGGCCACAGTGGACTTGCATATTCCAGTTCTAGAGGAAATTTGGCGAGCAGAGAGGCCAGCATAAGACAGAGAGAGGATATTATCTCTTTGAGCAGAGGAGATGGCTTTCATGGTGATTATGACTATGATACATGAGATATTCTGGTTTATATAGTTAGATATAGTCATAAAATAACATAATGACACCACTTTATAATTTATATAATAGTGGCATGATTTTTATGGTGTCATAAATAATGATTTATATAGTTTTAATATACACTCAAAAAACTGTCCACATGAGTCATCATTTTATAAGCCTTATATCTCCACCATATCTCCGCCGATTCCCACGGTGTAGGGCTCAAATAAAAGCCCTGAAGCCATACTACAATGTGGTATAAGTATGTCCTTGAGGAATTTGTTCATTCTCACACAATATCATAGATAGTGAAAAATGTCAAAACATGCGGACAGTTTTTTGAGCCACTGTATCTCTGACTCGTCTTATCTCTGACTCGTCTTATCTCTGACTCGTCTT